CAAGTAGAGACAGCCTGATTGACTCCTAGTAGCAGACAGAACTTCAGCTCTGACTGCTTTGACACTTTGTCTAATTTTGTGCACTATCTACTCATCAACAAGGAAAAACTTACTAGTGGGTCTCCAGTGTCCCTTCCTTACTGGGGCACTAAAAACTCTGACCAAGTGAATAAATCTGCAGGCACAAAAAGCTGCTCTCATCAGCTATCAACAACTGAAAAACTTGTTAAGTCTTGCAGGTAACGCTCTTCAGCTTCATAACCAGCAGTAAAGTTTAAAAGGTTTTCAATTAAGAAACATAAGAACTTACCATATGACACTGTATTTTTCCTCCTAGCTAACCAAAAGGTAGTTACTGTCTCCATTCTGCCTACAATAAATCTCAAAACCCCAAGGTGAGGAACTTAAAGTGTTTTTTTTTCCTTCAAATCACCTAGAATGCATCTTATTCTATAAGGCAAACGAAAAGCACTGGTGTACAGTAACACAATATTCAAAGACTCTTTCTAGCAATAGAACAAGGTTACTGTAAGTGTAGGCATCCACAGACATTGAGAACTTTCAGAAAGCATTCTTTTATTTCCAACCCATGCCTTCTCCAGTAAATAAATAGTACTTGGTAAAACAACAGTATTCATCCTCTACTCAACAAGTTCAGTTACAAGTTTGGGTTTTTTTTAAATGTCTCAGGAAGTGCTTGTCAGTTTGGTAGATCTCGCAAGAAGACCTCAAGTATGCAGCCACTAAAACATGTGAGTGATCTTATCTCAGTGTTTAATTTTTAGAAACAGTAAGTCCAGTTCCCCCTTCCCTAACAGAATCATGGAATGGTTTGTGTTGGAAGGGACCTTAAAGATCATGTAGTTCCAACCCCCCTGCCATGGGCAGGGACACCCTGCACTAGATGAGGCTGCCCAAAGCCCCACCCAGCCTGGCCTTGAACCAGGGATGGGGCATCCACACCTAATCCACAATCCTAATAGTAGGGTGCTTCCCATCCCATCAGGAAAAAAAATACTGTAAATTCTACACACTTAGCTTCAGAGTTTTCCCTCCCAGTCTTAAAACAAAATAAAATAAGAATTAATATTGATTGAGATGGGAGAGAAAGTATCATGTAAGGTCTCTGACTAGAAAGATATAGCAACACACTGTAAAGACAGAATACTTACATTGAAAACCGTCAGACTTAGTATATACAATTTCCTATCCTTTATCTTCCACTGCTAAGATTGGTTGAATTTTCCTGTTGTGTTTGCACTGTAATCTATCTGGAATCTGCTCCTTTTTATATACAGTCATGTTGGGATCAGCATTGGTCAGGGCTTCGTATACTTCACCCAGTTTGCCTTCAAACAAACAAACAAAAAGACAAAACTTAAACATACCAATATGTTTACTAAACTCATCAGTAATTTGAATACAATTGATAGAAGAGGGTAAAATGCACCTCCCCCTAATTATAACTGCAAGGGACAACAGCGTATTACAATGTGTAGAGAAATTACTGTGAGAAATCCAGAGCGTCATTCACAGATCACACCTGCCATCAGACTTCACAGCCTATTCCCAAGCTGCAAGAACCTTGCTAATTTTAGAAAAATCCCTCATTTCATAGTTATCAGAACGTAAGCTTCTCTCAAGAATGAGTTAGAAGGCATTCAGTTAAGTCTCCCAGAAAAGAAATCAGGTCCTCCTAGCTCCATGTAAAGCCCTCTAGCCAGAAGACAGCTCCTAAACTTGCTTATGAAGTAGTGTATGCATTAAGGCCGTATTCTGTCTTCTCCTCAGTGAGCTATGATAAGTGACACTTGATTTATTTTGAGGCAGCTTATAGTTGTTTTCCTTTAAAAGGCTGAAGAGAGAAGCCACTTTGTTTCTTGGCATCTCTGAATACTTTGAGTGAACCCAACTATTTATTCCTCCCTCTACAAGAAGCTCCAATAAACAGCTACATATTTAACTTCATTTGATTCCTAGCTTTGATCTTCTACCATTTTGATGACAAGTTTACCCAATTTCGAAAGGGTAGACAGTTTGTGGCTGTGCACCATGTAACATCATAGTACTGGTAATTAATTTCCTAGGGATAAGCAAACCTAGCTTGCATTAATCTTTCAACCGAAGCCCTCAGGTCACAGTCCAGATGCCACTAACCTGTTAGGAGTTGTACAAAGATTGCAGGGGCCTAAGCAGGGACAGGTTGGACTGGCAGACGAAGATGGCACTTTTGGTCTAGAACTGATAGCAACTCTGTATATTCAATGACAACTAACAGCTCTAGCTACTCCTTCGTGTTATTTGTGTCTAGTCCTTTCCCTTCCCTAGTGTTCTACTGCACAGCAAGCATAAATCCTCAAGAACTGTACTAACACTATCAAATAAATAGGCATTTTCCACTCCCAATTCTTTATTTGCTTATTTCCAGCAAAAGTCACTGAACAGCCAAGAAAGCAGTTGGACAAGCTGGAACACGAGTGCATGGAAAGGAGGAAACAGGACACATAAACATAAAAGCAAGTTCAGGAATCCACATCTGAGCAAGTTTCTTCAATCCTCCCCCTGCCCTCCATTTAAGCACAGATTCCTATTGAGGACTACGTAACAGACTCCCTACTGCAGCCAAATAAATAACCATGGAGCTGAAGTTTTCCAAGTACTTTGTGCTACACGCATGCACAATTCAGTCAGACAGCTGAGTTCACAGCTAGTGGCTGCAGGCCAGTTTCAGCGCTACAAGGTCTTAAGCGCAGTTAGAAGATGTCTACATTTTCTTTGTGGCCAACACTGCTGTTTTTAGCAGATGAGTGGGATTTAAGCACATCCTGTCATTTTGACTTACCATTTCTTGCTAGGTCTGCCTTCACAGCTAGCTGTACATCCTGGAGTGGGTGTTGCTGTGATTCAGCCCTTCTCTGACTGTCTGCCCCCGGAAATGACCACCTTCATGACCACAAGAACAAGTGCTTAGTATGACCCGACACACCTCCTGAAATAAACCAAGGAAAAAAGTCTGATCTTCCATTTACAACATGCGTGGAGTTTTGAACATATCTCAGAAAAACAATTTTGAGGGAACGGGCCCAATGTCTTTAAAGAAAGATTCTTTGCTTTCCTTCTCAGTTCCTAGGATCCTGGGTAGAAATTCTGGAGGGAAACTGGAAGTAGTTTAATGTATAATGATGTTCCTCATCTCAAACTGCCATTAAAAAAAAATCACTAAACTTAAGAAACACAAGAAAGGTCAAGATGAGACAGCAAAAGTCCAGAAACGATAGATAGTAACAGCAACAAGAAAAGGGACTCCAATCTAGGGCTATAATGCTAACAAAATTAATTTTGTTATGCTAGTTTTCTACATGGGGTAACAGGGAGGAGAGGCCCAAATACAGCAAAATACAATTCTACAGTAAATAAATTATTGAATTACTATATTAAATGAAATAAAAAGGCCAGCATCACCAGCTGTGCTACATGTACCATCTTCATGAACATACAATTATTTCCACCCAGACTAACACACAAGCATGGCTTTAATCCAAATCTCAGGGAATAATTATGCAGCCAAACAGTTAAAGTAGCAGGAATTGCTGTTTTTTTAAGCTTTACAAAATTTTTTCAATGTCTCGCTAGATTTTACCATTCCTTTGGTTTAAGCAAGACAAATGGAACAACTGTTGAAGAATCAGTCTTATGTACTGAAATATAAATTATTTCATAGCTAAACTGAGAATGAAGCCCATTGTTTTATAATAAAAATTACAGCTATCCAAGATATTTCTGAAATCTATTGTAATGACTTTTTTACTATTCTGTCATCTAATGGCTGCAGATACTATTTCTTTTCAGCATTTAGCAGCCAGGAGAATCGGGTTATGCATCTTCAGGTTCTCATTTACTGCATTAGGGATGTTTCAGCACTAAAGTTCACTTCTACAGCTCCTTTATTTGGTAATGAGAACCAGTGGTGCTCAGGCAGCAAATGGATCTCAGTTTGGACATACTAACATTTTAGTTTAGTTAATAAAGGAGTGTTCTTCAAACTCAAAAATGACATTTGTTTACACATTCAAAGGTCACTTAAGTCTGCAAAATACCCTCCCTGCTGGGGCATTAAATACAGAGTGCTATCCATTAGCAATGCAAATGTTATACAGAAATCTTAAAAAAACCACCTTTTCAGAAGGCCATCTTAAAACTCAACCTCCAAATTAGCAACCCTGCCACACAAAAAAATGCTATTTTCCAGGTTAACATATTTCCACCAAATAGTTACAGTTTTTGCTCATTAAAATAAAGATCAACGTCTTTAAATCAGTGACACTGAACATACACCTGACACTTAAGCAACCCTTCAGTGACTGCACCCAGACTTCAGATTTTGATTCCAACAGTATCCTTACCCATCATTACCACAGTAAGAATGGTACGAACATAACTGGCTAGCTGTTCAGCGCAATGGGGAAAAAAAGGCTAAAGTGAACTCCAATAGCTGGCAGCTAATCAAATAGCCAACACAGGCTTTCTTTTTATCAAAGGCCCCCATCTGGTTTCAGTTTACTGTTTGAGTTAGATAATAATTGAACGTTACATATCTTGCCTTTCATCAAGACGTTAAAGCCACAGTGGAAGAATTAGATTTCTATCTAGAACGCCGTTCATCCTTGATAATGCTGTTAGATTACCTTACTTCTCAAAAGGACTAAAGGATACTTGGCAATATTAGTCAACAACAGACAGATTTGCTCACTTTTCATTTCAGAAAGTTAATCCAGGCTTTTGTCAGAGCTAGCAAAGAGAACAAAGAAGTGATCCTGCAAGTATTCCTTGTTCAAGGCTGATGTCCTACTGGCATCAGTACTGCTACCACCACTTCAGTTAAGGAACGAAGTCTATAAAGTTTTGATACTCAGGTATTTTCTTCAGAGAATTTTAGGGCTATAGTTCCTACCCTTTTTTTTTTGGTAAAATACCTACTGCACGAGAACAGTCAATGACTGTAGAGAACTCTCTATGCACATACTGATCAAGCTCAATGAGCCTTTCCAAGAAGGACTGTGACATTAGAATCATAGAATGGTTTGGGCTGGAAGGGACCTCAAAGATCATCTAGTCCAACCCCCTGCCATGGGCAGGGACACCCTCCACTAGACCACGTTGCCCAAAGCCCCATCCAACCTGGCCTTGAACACTGCCAGGGATGGGCCATCCACAGCTTCTCTGGGCAACCTGTGCCAGTGCCTCACCACCCTCACGGGGAAGAATTTCTCCCCAATATCTAATCTAAATCTACCCTCTTTTAGCTTAAACCCATTACCCCTTGTCCTATCACTCCATGCCCTTGTAAACAGTCCCTCTCCAGCTTTCCTGTAGCCCCTTCAGTTACTGGAAGGCTGCTGTAAGGTCTCCCCGGAGCCTTCTCTTCTCCAGGTTGAACAATCCCAACTCTCTCAGCCTGTCCTCATAGGAGAGGTGCTCCAGCCCTCTGATCAGCTTCGTGGCCTCCTCTGGACTCTCTCCAACAGCTCCATGTCTCTCCTGTACTGGGGCCCCCAGAGCTGGACGCAGTACTGCAGGTGGGGTCTCACAGAAGTGGAGCAGAGGGGCAGAATCCCCTCCCTCGACCTGCTGGTCACGCCTCTTTTGATGCAGCCCAGGACACGGTTGGCTTTCTGGGCTGCAAGTGCACACTGCTGGGTCATGTTCACCTTTTCATCAACCAATACCCCCAAGTCCTTCTCCTCAGGACTGCTTTCAATCCATGATCGCTTCTGATTATGACATTTATCACATACCACAGCTTCGCTTTCTTCAGTTCAGACATAAGATATCCCAGCTTTTTGTCCCATAAGTGCGTCCAGAATATGGCCCATTTCATCAGGCTGTTCCCAATAGAGGAGACCAAAGTTTATGGGTTCTTCCGATGTAAACCAGTCAATAAGCCTAGCAACTCTATCTTCAAAGGAAACAGATTCATTGCAGGGCATATCATATGTAGGAAAGACTCCATGTATTTTCACATCTGTTCCAGGCCACACAGCTGCTCCAGTTTTATGTCCTTCCCTCTGGTTTGTTACCCATATTGGCCTGGCTTCTTCCCAGAACTTGGAGTTATGAATATTCATTTTGTTCAGAGAGGAACTTTCATTCAGAATAGGATCATACATCTCATTGGCAACTACACTGCAGCTTTCTGCATATAGACCAGTCATCATTGTGCAATGATTAGGATACATTTTTGTTATAAACACATTAGTGACCTGTTTGACATCAACACCATTCTCCATGGCATAGTGAAAATCTGGAGACTTTATAATGGAATCCCATCAAAAGATATTAGCAACACTCCAGGCTGGGCTGGCTGGAGAGACAACGTGTTTGGAAAAAATAGTGAGAAAATTGCCAGGACTCTCCAATAAAAGTTCATGACTATTCTGGAAGGTATTCTTCCCTTCTTCTGCGACAGCATGGCATCTGTTGAGCAGAGATGGAACATTTGCTTGTGTTAACTTGTTTGTCAAAGTCATAACTTAGTTTTAAGAATGAGTAGCTAAAATACTCCTTATGTATTTATACAGGCTTGCCTTACTAACAGTGAGCACTCCAAACAGGAACAAGACCTTTTACCTATCAGTTGTATTGATATCCCAATTTCAGAGACGGAAAGTGAGAAACTACAAGTTGTTGAATGAAACACAGTTTGCAAAGCAACTTCTTTATTCAACACCACTGTCCAAACTCTTCCTTTTTTTTTCCCTGCTACCAATATACAGGAACTCCTGCTCTTGCAATCCGACAAGTTTTCAAGTATTTTGTGTACCCAAAGTTGTAAGAAACTTTCCTATGAAAAAGCTTCTGCTTGTTAAGAGTTAAGATATAAACAGGGGCAGTTCTCACCTTGAGAATAACAAGGTCCATCTCCACCAGAATTTTATAACCCTCATTAAAACCTCCAGAGCATTATTCCTCTTCTGCGCAAGCATGGCAGCAGATACACTGGCATCACACAGGAGCGCAGCAGATGAGAGCAGGAAGTACACACTGGAACTGGAGGACTCGGTGCCTGCACAGCTCCCATCAGGGAGGGGGTACCAGCTAGAAACCACCACAGCTTCTCAGCCCTGACACTCGGTACGGGATTACTAAATGTGCTGAGGACAATTTCTGATGGAGAAACTAGCAAATAAGCTTTGGATTTCAGATACAGCAGTATCCATTAAAAAAAAAAAAAAAAAACATTAAAAGGTTTTGCTGCTTAAAAGGTGTCAGATCAAGAGTTAGACAAAGAGCAGGAACACATTTCCCAACATTTTGTCCAGTCTCTAACCTGATCGTAGCTCCCCTACATAACCAAGCTCTTATTGATCAACTGATGCTGATGCTTACTACCAAAGGTCATTCCTAGTGTACAGACAGCTTTTACAAACAAGTAATGAGTGTGCAGTTTAAGTTCTTCTAACTAACTGCTCAGGTCTCTGAATGGATTGGAAAGAGGTGATTGAGTGACCAGAAGGTCGAGGGAGGGGATTCCTCCCCTCTACTCTGCTCTTGTGAGACCCCACCTGCAGTACTGCATCCAGCTCTGGGGGCCCCAGTACAAGACAGACATGGAGCTGTTGGAGAGAGTCCAGAGGAGGCCACAAAGCTGATCAGAGGGCTGGAGCACCTCTGCTATGAGGACAGGCTGAGAGAGTTGGGGTTGTTCAGCCTGGAGAAGAGAAGGCTCCAGGGAGCGCTAATTGCAGCCTTCCAGTAACTGAAGGGGCCTACAGGAAAGATGGAGAGGGACTCTTCATCAGGTCACATAGTGACAGGACAAGGGATAATGGGTTTAAGCTAAAAAAGGGTAGATTTAGATTAGATATTGGGAAGAAATTCTTCCCCGTGAGGGTGGTGAGGCACTGGCACAGGTTGCCCAGAGAAGCTGTGGATGGCCCATCCCTGGAAATGTTCAAGGCCAGGTTGGATGGGGCTTTGGGCAACGTGGTCTAGTGGAGGGTGTCCCTGCCCATGGCAGGGGGATGGAACTACATGATCTTTGAGGTTCTTTCCAACCCAAACCATACTATGATTGAAAAATTCAGTAGTATTTCTGGTGGCTCACAACTGTACTACGTCTTTCAAGCAAGCATAAACCCCATCATCTGTCCTTTCCAGTCAATTACCACTGCTACCTGAGTGCAAGGAGCAAAAAGTATGGAAGAAACAAGAAACAGGATGCAAACCCTGCCCATGAAGTGCATGAGATGGTGACCACTAGACCATGTGCCCTAAAGTATTTTTTTAATCCCTAGACAAACATTCAGCACTAATTCTGATCATATGACTCAAGGATAGTGACTGTTCTTAGCTATGACTCGCATTCCTTATCTAACAGCACGAGATAATATGACACAACTGCATGCTGTATTGGGTCGTATTCCCCTGCACCAGTTTCCCTCTGCCCTTCCCAAACACTTTCTTGTTCAATACTCAGTTACCTAACTCAAAGTAAGGTCCCTGTAAGAACGCTCACATAGGATTTCTCTATCTGTAACTGACCTAAAATTTCATGCTAATATTCCCCACTTTTTGCTCAACAGCATTATTTAACCACAAGACCATATACTGTTCAATCCAATCCTGCATGTGGACTGCACTGATACACCACACAGCTCCCTTTAGGTTCCCATTTTTCAGCAATCCTCCAGAACCAGTCAATACAGAAATTTGGCTGGAAAACAGTGACTTTATAACCAGTAAATCCATATTAATATCTGGAGTACATAAATATCCTAGTTAATATAAAAAGTTATGGTATAACAAGCATCTGAGTATCACTGCAATGATGGAATAGCACTTGTCATTTTGGTAAACACAAGCTATTATCCATGGGAAGTCTTCCTACTCTGATTCCCCAACTGAATCTCTCATATTTACACTGGAAAACAGTGCTGGCACTGCTGACTTGCAGGCAGTCAAATGTCGCACTCAACTTGCGTGTCTTCCAAAATTAAAATCCAGGCCTAGAGTCATGCTAAGAATGAACTGACACTTCAGAGGCGTAAATCCCCTTTCAGCGAACACCACAGACCCCAAGGCTGCAGAATCACTCAGTTCTACCCCAGGTGGGATTTCTTTCAGCTGCATCTGAAGGAAGAACGGGAGAATGTGCAGTTGTGTCCATCTGAATCCCACCCACTAAATTAAGCGTAGCCCATGGCCAAGTCATAAATTCCCCCTTCTGGAAAGTAACAAGGATGAATTTAAGTCCTCTCAGGTGAAATCAGGTCCTCACTTCTGTATTTTCACTGCTAAGAATGTCAATGCCAGCTAAAACTGTAATTGCCTATTTTTAATAAATAGTAATTTTTTATTTTTTTTTTTTCCTGCTCCCAGGGCCTTCCTATACTGGTTTTCACTGGATAGAACCTGAGCACATCTACCAGTCCGGGTCCCTGCAGAAACCCAGCACCACCAAGCACGGCTCTGGGGCCCTGAAGGGGCTCCGAGGG